AGTTTCAGCAAGCAGGGTTGTGTCATCTGCATAACGCAGATTGTTGATGAGTCTACCTCCAATCTTGATGCCACACTTCTCATAGAGCCCAGCCTCCCAGATAATCTAGTCTGCATAAAGATTGATGAGATATGAAGCCAGGACACATCCATGATGCATACCCTTCCCAATTTTGAACCATGCAGTGTCTCTTTGCTCTAGATAACAGTTAAATGAACCGATCATAAAGACTGTGCAGGATAGGCAAAGCTCAGATCTTGTTCATAGGGTTACTATTAAATGTAGTCAGCTTGACAGCACTTAGCAACAACAAATGAGCTATACAACCTGAAATACACATTTGGCACAGTATTCATATAAGAACTTACTAAATACTAGACACTATTCTACATACTTTCTATATCATAATTTATTTAATTCTCTCAACTGTCCATGGATCTTTGTTGTTGTCAGGTGCTGTTGTGTTGACCATGACTCTATGAACAGTGGACCAGTCTTACCCTATCCGGCACCGTCCTTGCTTTACTCAAGTCCACTACTCCATCCACTCGGTCAATCCATCTCATTGAGGGTCTTCCTTTCTTTCGCTGACCCTCCACCTTTCCACGCATGATGTCCTTTCTGAAGGACTAGTCTCTTCTAATCACATAACTAAAGTAAGGTGAATCATCCTTCCCTCCAATGGGCACCCTGGCTCACCTTATTCAAGACATATTAGTTTGCATATTTTGGTAGTCCATGGGATATTCACCACTCTTCTCTAAACCTACAACTCAAGGGCGGTATCCTTCTACTGTCAGCCTTAGTTAATTCCCAGGTTTCTGATACATAAGTTGTTGTTGTTGTTATGTGCCATCAAGTCAGTCACCTGTGACTCATAGCGACCCTATGTACAACAGCCCTAAATTCTGCTCTGTCCTGTGCCAATCGCACTGTCTCTGACACTCCCATCCCAACTACCCTAGTCACCGAATCAATCCACCTCATAGTGCGCCTTCCCCTCCTGCACTGTCCCTCCACCCTCCCCGGCATGATGCCCTTCTCGAAGGACTGGTCTCTTCTCACATGTCCAAAGTATGTTAGATGGAGCCTCAGAATCCTTGCCTCCAAAGAGCCACGAGCTTAACCCTCTCCAG